GTGGCGGTGGGTGAACCTAGATTTGGGTGGGGCTTAGGTTTCTTCCACTTCTTTACCACCAAAAAGCAAGCAATAAGAACAAAATAGTGATGATTTCTATACTCACGGCAAGCCACGGCATTATGAGAACCATTCAAACGAGAAGAGTCACCTTTGTCTGCCATCTCTTTGTTCTACGTTAAATTCTTCTGGATGGTGGGGACGAAGCCGTTTCACCTCTAAATTTCTCTAATTAGTTTTTATTTGATGAAAAAGTTGCCTCAAAAGTGGTTTGATGTAATTAATAACTGTTAAATCTCAGCGGCTCAAACACACAGCATTCCAAACACACACCGTGTATGAGGTGGATTGGGTCGTGTTGTTGTAGAAAATAGAATGCACCTAACATTAACAAAGGCCCAATGGGCGCATAGGTAACTGTGTCACTGGGGGAAAGTGTGTCGTAAACTTTCACCCTATTGTCAGGGCTGGGAGAGCGTGAGCCCTCTGTGCAGGGTTATTTTTTTCAAGTCTTCTACCGTAGGCTGTACTATCTTTGGTTTCATTAAGTAGAGACCGTGAGAACGGGCTGGTTGATTGCTGAGCCCTAAAGACATTTGATTGGCTGTTAGGTTACTATAGTTGTTAGCGGAGACAACAGTGATTGGATAAACGAGCAAGCCGCCAAGTTGATCCCTTTGTGTTCACTGCGGTCGATCACAACAGTTTCAACTGCTTATTTCACTATTTTCATTTGCCTTGGGATAGACTTGGGGGTGGGGATGGGGGCTGAAGCCCGTAAGCCCTTCACTACCCACCGCCACTGCACACACACACACACACACACACACACACACACACACACACACACACACACACACACTGTAAACCCTCTCTGGTCAGTGGTCAGTACAGTGCTGAGTGCTGGCCTACTTATGGGGAGGGAATATTGGAGATTTCTTCTTACTTCACGCAGCCGCGATTATACACATTCATGTACATGATCATCTAATTCAATTCCGGCTCTGCTGTTCCTAAATACGTGAATGTGCGTGTGTGTGTGTGTGTGTGTGTGTGTGTGTGTGTGTGTGTGTGTGTGTGTGTGTGTGCGCGCGCACGCGCGTGTGTGTATGTGCGTGTATGTGTTTGTGTGCGAGTGCGTATGCGTATGTGCGTGTGCATGTGAGTGTGTGTGTGTGTGTGTGTGTGTGTGTGTGTTTGTGTGTGTATGCGCGCGCGCGAGTATCTATGAGAGAAATAAAGAGAGAAATTTAGTGTGTCTGCATGCACGTGTGTTTGCGTGTTTGTGTGTGAGCGTGCGGGCGCGCACGTGCACTCGTGAGTATGAGTGAAGAAGCACGAACAGTCCCCTATGTCAAATTAATATCAAGTTTGAAAGTACATGTACTGTAAAGCACCTAGAGCTGTAACATACAGTTGTGGGCGCTATAGAAAATTAAAAGATCTCAATTATTATTGTGGACAGTGTTGGATGTTGTAGAGAGAAGAACTGGCATTTCGCTTTGTGTGGCAACAGGAACTTTATGGAAAGGGGCAGCGTTACTACTGCTTCTGTTACTGTTACTGCTATTGTTACTGTTGCTGCTACTGTTGCTGGTGCTGCTTAACGCCCACTCCTACTCCAGCTCCTACTACTATCGAATTTAACGTCCATCGCTGGGAAGACCCTATTAAGAATGTTTTGGGACTTGAGTATATGCTGCCAAATAAACCCCACCATCACGGGGTTTTAAACCAACATCATGTCCATCATAAATAAGGCATTGTGTAATCCAAGCTCATGCCCTTTAAAGAACAGAGTTCCACGCAATTTGTTTGTGTGTGTGCCTTATTAGGGG